TATAGACGGTCTGGAAAGCGTCTGTAGAGGCTGCCACACTCGAGTTAACCCCTATCATGCGCAAGCAGCAGAACCAAAGACTTGCAGCGAAGCATGCGTGTACTACACCCAGTGGGTTGGCATGGTGACCGTGACCCAGTGCTTCGTCCAGGGCCCTTCAAGAAGCTCCGCCCGTCTTCCCCCAGATGCTCCACGTGAACAATCACGACTCTCAAGGTTGAGCGCACACGACACCTCACCATGAGAGGACTCTCAAGACAGAACTCACAACCTCACGGTAAGAAGTGATGAAGAGGGTAGGTAAGGTTAAGAGCAACGTACCTCGTTCATGCTGCCCCCAACCACAGAAATAATCTCACCAGATGACCTGAAGATGATTGCGATGACCAGTCACAGCATCGGCACAACCAGCATTTCGCCGTTCCACCTCAGCCTCAATCATCAAACAGATAGTTCTCATCACACTGTGAACACCCAATATTCACACCTTACCCTTCCAGGCGATACCCCTCACCACCTGGGTCGCCTTTCACTCGTCTCCACCTTCCTCACTACACACCACTTACGGCCAAACTCTCCCAGCAGACCGCATGTATGTACCGTATAAGGAAAGAGACAAGCGCCAGATGAGCGCGCCGTACCACAGCTCTGATACCAAATTGCAAGGAAGAWGAGCAATAGCKAATTCCAGAACTCAAACAGCATCATACATGAGTGACCAAATAGCCATGACCTCGAACCATAAGCAGAATGGCATCACGAGTTATACCAAATAAGAACACAGCAATAGTTCGTGATTGACAATGCTGAAGTTGTCTCTCATCATCATCAACAAAGAACAAGAGATGGCTTCCTATTGGCGCTCGGCGCCCAGACTACAAGATGGCAGATCTTATCTAGTCTCCTACTACAATGCCGGAGTTGACGTCACCAGCTTCACCGAAGTACGTGCATAGGCGGCCAATGCCGCTCGTCTCAAGCACCAGGTATGTCTCCCACTTTGCTCTCAACCCCGATCCTTACCACACAGATGCCTCTAGCACCCAAGGACCACCCAGCGCCCCACCTAGCATACAGCAGGCAGCGTGGCTATGGCTGCCTGCTTCTTCCTCACTCGCCCGTGAGTGCGAGGGCGCCAGCCAGCAAATAGCGCAGCAGCGCTAACGCAGCATGCAGCCAGCACCCGAATGTCGAATGAGGAGGCAGGCCCTTCCCTATATCGAAGTGGCCTGCCTGCGTCCAGTCCAGGAAGCTTCCAGTAGGCCCCGGTAGCCTGAGGCCCAGTCACGAAGAATGCAGGCATTGGGCCTGAGGTAGTTGCATACACCCAACTGCTTTCGGCCTGTGCTTGGCCCGGTACCCGTACCCAGCCCAGGGCCTGCTTTACATTCATTCACACAGGCGGCCCCGGGCGTGAGTTCATTCAACCAACTGATGCTGTGTAACTGCCTGAATTTCCCCATTTGCGGGGTACCCTGAAAACGAGGCCCTGAGGGCCTGTCGTGCCTGCCTTCACTTAGGGCGGCCGACCTTGCTGCAAATAAGGCCCGTAGGGGCTAAGCGGGCGTAGCCTCGCAGATGGATAGATGCAAAGATAAAAGGGAAAAAAGATTAAAAAAAACAAAAAAAACAAAAAGGTTTTCTTTTTTTTTTCCTTTTTTTGTTTTTGGCACACACACACTTAGATGGACTGACTGATTGATGGATTGATTGATTGATACAAAAGAAAAACAAAAAGAAAAAGCTTGCGAACGCGCGCGCACGTGTGTGTGTGTGTGTGTCTGAATGTGTGTGTGTGTGTGTGTGTGTGCGCTGTGTGTGTGTGCGTGTGTGTGTGTGTGTGTGTGTGTGCGTGTGTGTATATGCGCGCGTGTCTTTGTCTGTGTGTGTGTGTGAGAGTGTGGGTGTGCGCGTGTATGTGTGTTGTGTGTTGTGTGTGTGTGTGTGTGTGTGCGTGTGTTTTGTGTGTGGGACCCTGCCCCAGGTCTGTACTTCAACAGTATCCCGCTTGAGATTTTATCATCAAACGTACGAGCCCTAGGTAATTCAGAATTTTAGTGTTTCAGTCATCTGCTTCCAGTGGAGTTCGAACTGAGCTCGGCCAGTTGGCATGCATTTCTACAGTTCACGGATGCACCAGCTGAGCTGGGGCTAATCGGTCAGATGGAGCACCTCCGAGCATTTGGATTGGATGACGGGAAATCTTCCTACTACAGATAGCGAGCACGCGCTCGGACTTGCCGGAGCGGAAAGCCCACCCCCCGCCCTCCTCCCTCTCCGGATGAAAGTAGAATGTTTCTTTTTTCCTCCCTGCCACGAAGTCAGGGTGAATCAATACTGGGTTACCACGGGCCTCAGAGTTTTGTGCTTCGACAATGGAAACTCTGTACCTTTTCCCGAAAAACAAAACGAAACGAAAGGCCCTAGGTACGCCACTGGCCATCCAGCGAGATTTTGAATGCATTCGGACATGTAATCCGTCAATATGCATTCGAAGTCTCGGCGGGGAACGAGTGGCGCAACTACTCCTGAATACTGTCCATGCTGGCGGATGGCGAGTGGTGCAACTACCGGTAGGTCCGTAGCTTGGGGAACACAAATAGTCCAAGGTCCCTCACAGCGGGCAGCGTGGAACAGAAGGCGGGGGGTCCCAACACCGCTATCATTGATTGCC